AACTGTTGCCAGCGACTCCGTTCGCGCGGAGTTAAAAAAAAAACTTAATTAGTAGCCTATGTGTTCTTCATTTTCAATTACAGCGAGATTCGTTGAGAGATGACAAACATCCATCCCACCAAACATTCGCATTTATAATATTAGTAAGATAACTGGTGAAATTACGTTAAATACATAATTGTTTTCGATTTATTGAACTATGATTTTAATTTAATAAAAATAGCATAAAATAATATTAAACGAATTAAGTTCAATATGTAAACACCTGTTAAATTGTGAGATAAAAATTTCTTCATAGTGTCCACAACCGGTAATACAAAACAAGATCTGTCCGTCCATTGATACATGTTTACACAATACACGATGTCTCAATTATACGGCTACGTCTCACAATGCCCGCACATGTAATAAAGCAATTATCTTTAATTACTACGGACTGCGAAAATATACTTGCAATTGTTAAAACGAATTAATTGAACTTTTTATGACAAAGACGTCAACATCGATTAATTGTTAAAAAATACAGTTGCAAAATCTGTACGTCTGTCGTAAATATATTTATCATAATTTGCTGATGGAATTTTTGCTTATTTATATTAACAATTATATACAGGATGGTGGTTTTAAGTATCGAGATCTTTGGCCAAAAATTTGACGATTGCAGTCTGTAGTTTGTTGATTGGCATCGATGAAAACTTGTTTGGATTTTATTAAGCTCGTTAAAGAAGGTAATATCGGCTGCAGGAAGCGACTCGTTTTAGATATGTGCTTGTTCGTGTGCGGAGTTTTAACATAATAGCCTGCGGGAACGACCCCGTACGAAATGTCGCGAAATCCAACACCAAAAACCACATTAGCCAATGCAAAATATATCTTATTTGTAAGCAATAAGGAATATTTTTGAATGGTTTTGTGGAATAATGTTGTGATTCACGTTGTCTATTGTATGAAAATTAAAGTGAATATTCGGTAGGACACATGTGCGCAGCGGGGCGTCCTACCGTGCAATGAGATCTAAAGGAAATCTGTCAGCGTCCCTTGAGAGTTGCGAGCGCTGCTATCCTGCAGGACATTTTCGCCGCGGGGTTTCATTGTGTTTTGTTTGCAAGGGAATTGGTACGCGTGTGACTTAAAATTATGTATTTAATTTTTGCTTGTAACTCGGATCTAATTTACTAGATTTCAAGCATATCATATTTTATAAAAAAAAAAAACTTTAAAATCCTAAAACTCTGTCTTGTGCTGTTTTCGTGTAACTTCATGTATGTAGGCGGACATTCGTATGGATGACGAGGTATAAGTTTTCACATTTACCCATTACTGCCACATAATTCTTCACTTCAGATTCAAGCGTATCATTTTCAAAGGAGAATCAGAAGTTAATTTATATTCTTACGTCCCCCACATTTGAAGATAACTAATAACAGGGTTTTTATTGTAGAATTTGCGTGGTGCGGGATGTTCCCGTGGCCGGGATGGCGAGGGGAGGGTTAAAGCCGCCCCGCGTCCCGTCGCCGGCGACATGTGCGCGCCTACTATTTGTGCTTTTGAACGCCCACTCATTACGATGCGCGCCGGCTTGTGACGGAGGGTGCCCACGGTAGTGTGCAATAGCCGCTGAGTGCAATTCTTGGTAGTGTGCGCTATCCACTAAGACTCGTGGTAGTGTAACAACTTTACTATTCGCTATCCGCTACCCGTGAACTTGCGTCAAAACGTGGTTTGAAGTCGCAATTTGCATTTGATTACAAAGCAACTCCATTACATGATGTAAATAGTCGTGAGATCGCGATAGAATATGATAATACAATTTAAATATATCGAAGTCATATTTGGGGTAAGAACAGCTGTGTCTTGAGTAGAACGAGGTCTACAGACACTCTTTCTGTTTACCCCTTTTGTGATGTAAGGTAATATTAATAGTCGGTTCGTGCCGCGCGATAATTTGCCACCACGATAGCATCGCCTCGCCTGCGCCTCGTCACGCACAATTGTTGCGCGCCGGCCGATCCTACGCCCAAGTGCTGAGCTAGGTGTTGAATAATTAATTCAATTATTCATAATTTAATTGAGCATACTTTAAAGATACTGGCGTCAAGTCGCATCACGTCGCGCTCTACCGAGTGCAGACTGTCCAAGCTTCAGATACAGTCTGTCGTGTACAAGTCTTGTGATGAGTTGATTTACTATTTAACATTCTTTGTCATTACATTAGTTAGTAAACTCAACACTTAACAGAGTAATGACCAATGATCGATAACCACGTGGTGATTAAAAGTATAGATATAGGTAACTAACATGAAATCATTGAAATCTAAGTGGAGATAATCGAAATGTAATAATAATAGGTGCATAAAAAATTATAAATTCATGGTATCAAAAGTATGAAATATCTGAGTCTTTTATGTCGGCACTTAAACTCGTAAATCATGGAGCAACACATAAACTCGTAAGACGCAAAAATGAAAACCTGTAAGGTAACAATGATGTCAATAACTCCATCGCAATCGTTACATCTTTATTATATTACCTCGATGATTTCCAAAGACCTTTGTCATAGCGCCGCGCGGTGCGGCTGAGGACGTATAAAAACTTGTAAGAGTCATCAATTACAATTCAAAGGCGCAAACATGAAACGGGTTGTGGAAACGATGCATTGCCAGTTCTCGGAAGGAGAGACGCGGGGTCGGTGACCGGCTCGGGCGACCTTGCTCGCCCACACGACGGCCACTTTTGCTTTCGACAATTCGCAAAAAAATTGAACAAGCCCGCACACTTGTGACCCCACTAGCGTCTACAGGCCGTCGATGTGGGTCACCTTTGCGATTTGCACTTTCGCTAACGAGCTCGGCTCCTCGCGAGAGTGTAGCGCTCGGTAAACGCATTGTATAGACATGTCTGTTGTATATACGTGATCTGTTTTAACTTTAAACATAGCTTAACAACACTACCGATACTTACTGTCATTGCGCGGTGTACCCCGACAAACTTTTCTATTGGGAAGTTAAAATGTTGTATTATTTTCTCCATCAACATATTTCGAACTTTGTGTTTTTGTTAGTTTCCAATTTAAAATGTTTTAGTTAACCCAATTTATTAACAAACAAGTATGTCCCTGTTATGCATGGTGGCAGAGTAAACAAACAGGCAGCTAGCCACCACTTACTGACGATATGATACTAATCAGCTAACGGACTTTACATAAGCTCGTATCGGGTGTACTAGCGTCGCGCAGTACTACTTCTATATAGGTTATCAACGTTGCGCAACTATCGGGGTCACAGAGCGAGCCGGCAACGGGGCCAAACCTGCACCGATACAGGGTCGACTTACTAATATCACTATGTAAATAAATATTATCCACTAAATAAATATACACATTTATAGGACAGAACAATATTGTATTGAAAATGCTAAACCGAATGAAATCTTTTATGGACTAAGCACATTTATACTATGGTTCGTTTAGACGAATATAATATAGCATTACGTGCATAGTCTGGCTCTTTCATACGTTTCCTCGCAACCAGTACGTTAGAGCAAGACAACGATTTTGAGCGACCGTCTCAAATATCCTTGGGTAACCACTAAAACTAAAGCCGCTTTTCCACTCTCGTGCAAACAACTTTGTTGGGCCACCAAGGGATTGTTGAATATAATAAATACATAAATATACCTACACAGCATACATTCTTTTAACGTTTTAATTATAAAGGAAAAAGTTATCTACTCTTTTTAAACAAGGTAAATAGACCTCATATAAAAACATTAGAACTATAAAAACCAAACTATCACCGAGCACCAATTTAAATCCAAAATTGATGATTACCAACACTACTAAAAAAATTGTAAAATGAAAATTAAATCCGTGAAAAATTATTATTTATTATCATTAGTAACTGCATAACTTTAACACGATAAATGAACTTTGACATCGAATTTCGTCCCCTAACAGATAACTGAGACGTGCTTCATAAATCTTAGAAGCAAAAAATTGATCTTGAAATTAGGTCAATTAGCGAAGAAGCCTCTCTCCGAAACAGAGAGGAGGTCGATGTAGTCGTGTTTGTGTGGGTCGGGGCCTCGTCTCTACGAGGGCGAGGGTGCAAGTCGAACACTCGGAATCTACCCCATCGGTAATGTTAATCTCGCACTACGGGCGAAAAGTTATCGCATGTCGACCTACATAGAGTCCAATTCGTATTGTAGCTGCAACAAGTTCCTGTTAAAATTTTATCATTCCTTTTACCTGTGGTTTCATCCAACAAAAGATTCCTAAACGAGTTATCCGATAGAACGCTACGGAATAAACATTTTCACGTGCTCTCCGCGGCGTGCGGTTAAACAAGTCAACGTTTGCGTCTATAGGCCGACAGAGTCGTCGACTTGTATACGGCAACGAAGCGAACACAGGAAAAGAGGTAAAGTAGGTTTCAGTGCGATAGAGACGTGAAATGATCGGTAGTGGCGGACCGACGCTCCGTAGTCGCAGTATGTGTGGTGAATGTCGCGCCGCGCTGTCCCAAATATTAATTGTAGTACCGGCGGCGGAGGCGGTCAGTGCAGCGCGTCGCGTTGCGTCATCGCCGCGGCCACCGGGGCATTGCACCTCGCCTGCTCTGACAGTCCGTCCTCTGCCCCACTCCCCTCCCGAGGCCTGCTTCGTCCCTCCATTACACGCCTATCCATGTGCGTACTATCGATCCCATATCATAAAACAGCTGATCCCCACTTAACTATAAGATCGTCGTCCATCCTACTACAAAACTCTACTCTAAGTCGATCTAATATAGAAAAGCAAATTAAGGCTTGCGTTAGATTGTCTTGATTAATATAAAAAATAAAACAACTGTTTAACATAAATATTAACAAATCAAATGCGATACACAAAACTTAACTAAAAATATATTTCTGTATCGTAATGCCCCACGCTACTTTTTTTTTAGTTTAATCGATTCAATGTTCATCAAAACTTATCAAATTGTTTCCATTTGTTACAGCGGTGTGGCGGTGCTGAGTCCGACAGAGAGTGGCGGCTGCAGCAGCAGTGACATCACCGAGCCCGGCTCGCCGCGTAGCCCCGACTCTGCGGGGGAGGACAGCGCGAGCGCGCGCATGCCGCCCTGGGCCAGCGAGCCGGCGCCGGGCCCGCGCCGCCTCGCGGCCCAACCCGCGCCCACGCGCCGCCCCACTTCGCACCGCCGCATCACCGAGTACTTCAACCACAAGATGAAACCGCAGAACGGACTCAAACGCGAGGCCGATGACAAGAAAAAGTGCCTACCCAAAAATGGTGTCACCCACGACCTAGAAAAATACATCTCCTATCTGTCTCAAACCCTTAGCCCCAAAGTATTATTAGACGTCGGAAAGCAAACTGACGTTAGCAAGCCTGTCTGTCAATCCGTTAACGGTGGTGCCGATACTACGAGCGGTACCGAAGCTAGGACGGGCGGTCATGTCAAAGGCGTCCTCGAGTTTTGTATACCTAAAGACAATAAGGATATAGTTCATACGACGATGAACGGCTTTGTTGATATTCGACACGGAAACGACGCCAGTAAAAGGCACACATCTGCAACAGGGCACATCAATGGAACTGTCAACGGCAAAAAACCTTGTTTTGAAATGAAATCACCGTCACTAGACCCATCCGCCAATGGAATTGTCACTACCAGCAACCGTACGTCTTGTGGTGCTAAACGCAAAATACCGATACCGGCCAATAACGATCTAACAGGAATGAGGATAGCACCGACATGTCCGCGTCAATCTCCGAAAAAATTGCCTACTCCAAAAGCTGATAATGCACGAATGAATGGAGTCGTAAGCTCGACTACGAAATTAGATACGAGAATGAACGGGGTTACGTTTGGGTCAAATAATTTAAGTTTAAATGTACCATCTAAACCGTCGCAAGTTAAGAAAGAAACTGCAAAAAAGACTACAACATCGCAGAAAAGAACCAATCGAAAATCTTCCGCGTGTATTGCAAATAGTAAAAACTTAACATGGTCCAAAGCAAATAATTTGAAACAGGTACAACTTCAAAAACAAAATTGCCCTAATTCAGTCCAAAGCTCTGCTGCAAAAAGCATTCCCAGCGAAGCAAATCCTACACCAAAGATTAATATTCCAAACGGTGTCCGACAAGTTACAATGGCAGTTAACAACGGCTTAAACAATTTGAACGTTCCCAACTTTCAAAATTGTCATCCAATAAATCTCCAACATCCGCAACCTTGCAATGGTACAGTGACGTCTACAAATTTGCCATCGTTCGTGGCGGTTCCGCATAACGTCATGCTCACTTCGTTACGAATACCTCCGAATGGTTTACCGGCACAAAATTTAAACCATCAGAATGGGATGAATTCTTTCAATCGACCAAACGTTAATGTGTCCTCTAGCCCAACGAAGCTTAACGGACAATTTCTTTTTCCTTTCATGCAAAACATAAACGGCACAGTCGTACAAATACCTAACTTAATGGCTAAAATGCCTAATTTTGTTATTCCTCAATCTACACAACTAACGACACATAGACAAGACCATATGACCAACCAGCAAATTGTTTTCAACGGAACCATTGTGAAACTCGGCAATAGTATGACCGCGGCGTATCCTGGTGTGAACAAGTCATCCCCTGTTACCAGCCAGTCGATGCCAATTATGAATAAAAACGTGACAGGTGTGCCAACTGTCGGAATGACAGTTCAGCCGAAAGTAAATTACACGGTTAATTTAAGTCATCCTGTGTTAGTGCCACAACCCGGTTTTATTGTTACTTCTGTGCCAAATATCAACGTGAAGGAAACGTGGAGTAGTTCAAGTACGCACCCAGCGACGTCCACCCAAGCGACATGTTCTAATCCTATAGTACATCACCCGCCGCCGATGGTTGCCAACTTTACAACGCAAACGCTGCATTCGAGTAGTATACCCATTGCGCCTGTCAAACCTCCCGACAATCCGATCCAAGGCACGGATCCACCTAGCAGTACAGTTAAGGAAACCGAATTTATAAATGTTAAAGAACAAAAGTGTGATATTCCCTGGCTATCCAAAACTGTTAATAATAATTTTGTTTCCTTGAATGCAAACAAGATAACTTCAAGGCCATTCGCACAAGTCAGTAGTTTATCTGAGAAGTTAGAAGAATTAGCCCAAAAGGAAATGGCGGGTATAAGGTTAGAAAATAAAAATATTGAAAAAAGGCCTCCGGACTTAAGAGAACTATTATCTTTAAAGGAACAGAAAAAAGTAGATGAAGTAGCGAAAAGGGAAGATACTATTTTTACACAAATCACAGTTTTAAAAGACGTATCATCAAACGTCGAAAGTGCTGTGATCGAAGCGAACTTTTGTTCGGCGACGACGGAATCGTCAGAGTCTGGGATCGGAACAGACAAATCTTTAGATTCGCCAAGTGACTCCCAAGCGAGTAAAGAATGTGACGACGATTCCTCTTTATCTTTAAGCGTTAGTGTTTGTTCTATGGACGTGCAGAGTAGTCAAAAGAGTCCTATTCTAAAACAACCCAAAACACTCCGGTTCCCACCAAAGAACAGCAGTAGCAAGCCGCATAATGAAAAACGGAAATCAAGTACAGACACCACGTCTTCAGTGACCATCTGTTTGTGGACAAACTGCAAAAGAGAACTGGAAAGTGATACAGACCTCTTAGAACATATACAGGTTAGTTATTTTTTAACATATCTTATAATAAACTAGCTTCTGCTAGTAACTTCAAAGGCAAAGTTCAACGGAAATTTTGTTTTAGAGATACCTCGTAATTAACATCCATCCATTCATCCATCTAAACGTTTGCATTTATAATATTAGTAAGATTAAGTTTAAATAGACAAAATCATTAATCGTTTAAGATAAGCTGAATAGCCAATAATTTTATATGATTTTTTATTCATATGTGTACTGTAGATCAGATCATGAGATTATTTTCCGTTTAATCAGTCGAATGAAAGTAAAAGGAAGTATATAAATCTGCAATTAGTTTTCGTTATTTGGCTACATCTATACATTTTGGTGATGTGTTTTGTTGTTGTTTTGCAGCGAGTGCACGTGGAGTCGCAGGCGGGGCGGGAGAACTACGTGTGCGAATGGGAGCGCTGCAAGGTGCGCGGCAAGCCGTCCTGCTCACGCTTATGGCTGGAGCGGCACGCGCTCTCGCACGGCGGCAACAAGCCCTTCAAGTGCATCGTCGACGGCTGCGACCGCCGTTTCTCCACTCAGGTACAATTACGTTCCTTGTCGCCAGTGACTTCGTGCTACACATTGCAGGAACCCACCACGGAGCGCATCGCCAAAACGTATCCACAATAACGCTATCTATTGCAGCTTAGACTGAGTTATTGTCTATATCGTTCTGTCGGTCTGTTGTGATGGTTTTTATTGTTACTTCTTCAGTTCGAGGCCCGTTTTCACTTATTCGATCTACCTACAGGCTACTTATAGCTGGCAGTTTTAGGATTGTTAATAAGATTTCTTAACAATTCTAGGTTACATTACTTTCTCATTTTTTAATTTATATTAAGCTATAAGTTTGTCCGTTAAATTTGCTATTTTGAATTATTGGAAACGGACCTGTTAGTTGAAATAGTATCTTTGTCTTAATTATTAATGTTTTGGTTAACGTTCTCTTCAAATCACGTCTGAGCAAGTGATTGCATCACACGTGCTGTTGAATAGGAGTCGTTCGTCTAATATGATTTTTCCTATAAAATGTGTCGTCCAATTGAAAATTTATTCCGTGTATTTACTTTAATAGTTCGTCGGTGTCGTCTTGCATTATGATATTATGGTGGGATTCAGTCACTTTGTTATGTGGTACCACACTTTCATCGCCTCGTCGGAAACTTGTTCTTCTTTGTCATATTCTAAACATAATAGAGTAGCAGTTACTCAAGATCAGTTGACTGTAGTTGTGGTGCCTACATCGTAGACTTGATTTTTAGAGTTAGATGAATCGTGTCCAATAATAATATCGAACGATAAACTTGTGCTATTTTTCTTTTCCTAAGGACGAAGAAGAAGTGCTGTCTTTGACTACCTCCACTTAGCCATCTACGGTTTTATTTTATTTTGTATCATCCAGCAACTTTATTGAACCTTAACAATTTAACACAGAAGCGATTCGATCATTACAAGGAAATGTAATATTTTAATCTAAATATATTACACTATCTATTTTCGCTATCTCAATAAACATGTTGTGTGATATTATTTATGTTTGTTTGGGACCCACTTCGGGGAGAGATGCCGTATGAGTAATCGTCTGGATTAACGAATCAAGTATTGTTTTAGGATTAAGAGATAACTCTGTAGTTACGTGCTCATATTTACTTGTTATTATTACTAACATTCTGTTATCTTATGTCTGTTGCAGTATTCAAATCGTTTATTAAATTGGTCTATTATTTAGTTGAGAATCAAAATGTTACAAAATTTTGTTATTATCGTTTTCTGTTACATTTTGAAATACATCATTTGCTGTTTTAATTTCAACAGAATTTTAAAGATCATTTTTTACATCCTAGATATTATTTGTAATACATTTTTTGTACAAAATAACGCTATTAAGTGCTTTGTTAATATAAAATATTGTCTTTTTATTATAAATTAATAGTGTAATCGTAAATTCCAGATATTACTGGAGCGGCACGTGAATAACCACTTCAACGAGGCGTCACCTAACACCAGCGGCAGCAAAAAGACCACCGAGACCTCCGCCAAGCTTATACGACGGAATGGAAAGAAACTGCGATATAGACGACAACCGTGGTCTGGTGAGTCCACCTTCCTATACTGACACAACTTAAAATGACAACTGACTCGCCAAATATTAAGTGAACTGCAGATCACAGACCATAACTTGGAGTACATTTTCCGGAAACACCTTACATGGTATTTGATGTACAAAATACGATTCTACTAAATGTTAATTTTTATAAAAACAATAAAAAATAAATGAACCAACGAAACATACAAATATACGTATGTTGTATTAATGAGGATCAATGAGGGTCTTTACTCACTTTTTTAAAACCATAAATGACAGTGCATGTTGATGTCCGGCACCGATAAGTTAGCATTATGCAGGCATTACATCGGATTTGGGAAGGTGAGGACAGGGGACATGTCGACTTGCTGTAATTGCAATAATTATAGAAACATTTTTATCGCGTATTTGCATACTTATGTTATTATTTATACGAAAATACTTTCGCCATATTTTTAACAGGAACATATGGCTAAAGTTTAGTATTCCAATGCTTTAAGTAAACGAAGACCGTGAAATACATCTAGTTTTGTTTCTACACTACAATAGTATAAGAAGTTTTAATCTTTTTGTATGTGAGCGACATTTCTTTTAGTTGTGTCGTTGAAAAGGTCCTATGGATTCTCATTTTCAATCTAAAAGAAAAGTGACCAGGAAACGAGTGAGATTATAACTGGTTTGATTTGTGATTCCAGCGCGTATGTTCGACTTCTTCGACGCGAGCACGATGGAGGGTCTGGCGTGGCGACTGTCACGCAGCACGCGCTGGCGGCTGGGCGGCGCGTGTCCGCTGCGCGAGCCCGCTGGCGCGCACACGCTGACGTTGCACGCCATGCTCGCTGCAACACGATACAACGCAGCAGAGCGCCGCCGCGAGGCCCTGCTCACATACTACCCCCCACACGTGTGAGTACTTACATACATATATCTATTCCCCTTACCATCTCCTATCCTACATACTTCTCTTACTTATCATCTAGGACCTTCTCCCTTCCTTAGTGGTAGAGTAACTCCTAATTTTGTGCATTCCTACAATGACATTATCAAGCAGTTCGCTCGATGTTATGTGACCTTCTCCTTTAATAACCTCCGGCTTGCTGGATTACATTTGATGGAAGAAATAACTCGGCTTTTGGTAAATAATTTTTATAAAAAAGGTTAAGGCAACTATTGACTAGTAAGTAAAATCACAAGATTACGTGTGGTATGAAAACTAATGTGTTAAAATTGAATTGATCATTTTATGTGATATTTTATGTTATAGTGAAACTTGTCGTTTTTTAGGTGGAAATAATGTCTTTCTCTTGTACACTTAAGGTGTGCGAAATTAACAATGTATTCTTAACTTAATTAGAGTCTGAGTTACCGTTCAATTACTTTAGATAACTTACTCTAACTTATGAGACTAATAGTTATTATGGGCGTAACTAAGTATTGATTTGATATTCTAAATCTACGCTTAGGGGTTGATTTAATATCTGTATGTGATTTTAACTTCTCGATATAATGTTAATATGTTTTCAGGTAAGATTTTGGAGTATATATACATTGATATAGTGTCATAAATGTTATACAAAAAGGCAACAATTAGGACGCAATTTGTGATCAAATAATGGACATAATAATACTTAAATTGAATATAGATAAGTATTTATATAAATTTAAGCATTTAAAGTTTATCCTGCAGCCCAGTTATTGTTTATAATGTAACAGGTAAACAAGAGGTGGGTCAAGGTAGATTTGATGTCCATTTCTTTCATTCATATTACTTAATCTGCAATATCATCATTTCATTATAAAAATTTATTATTCTATATATGTTATACCAAAATTGTTTAAAATATATTTCAAATATGATATTTAAAATATTAAAAGATTAGTTATGACTAGAAATAGTATACATTCTTAATAATTTGATTATTAATAACTGACTTTTTAACATTATTATTCAAATAAATTTTTATCTCGTATTTTTTAAATCAAACAGTTTTCCGAGTGATATTTAATATCATTAATATAATTTTAATTTCCATTTGATTTTTTTTAAGATAAATATATTTGAAATTATTGATATTGCATATTAATATTAACAATTAACAAATTAAGTATTTAAAATTGATATAATTATAACAAGAAAATATCGGTATTGCTAGATTCAGTTACAAGCTTCTGCACATGACTCATGTTTTTTTATTCATATCATTTTAAAATTTTTGAGGATCATATGCATGACAAATAAATGTGCTAGATCTTTCTTAATATAGATCTATAGATTAAGAAGGTAACATTGATATTGTTTATGTGACACGGAAGAGCGGGACTTCCAATCACAAGCCCGTTATGGATGCTTAAATGGAAGTCCCGGCACAAATGTTAGTATTTACCGTTTTTGTTTAAGCAATAAATCATTTTTCAATTTAATATATTTCATGTAAAACTTATAAGTTAAGATAAAATATTGTTCTGAATATTTAAAAGCAAATTTCACTTATTAATTTTCATAAAAAAATGAAACTACATTATTGACTCATCATGTTGGATTTCGTATTTGCGTTATAAAATTAAAAACATAATATTATGATTATTTTTTATTTCTTCAACACATTGGAAAACTTTCAAAGTGTAAAAGATAGAATGTTGTTAAGTAACTATGTTATGCGATTTTTTTTTAAAGAAAAGTTTCATCATTGTACCTAAATAACCAATTACATATAATTGAGACACTGGTAAAATCTTTTTTTTAAATGTCGATGAAGCTTGCTATTTGAATGCATTGATCCTCATTTTATTGCTTTGCATACAGAGGATCATGTGCACACTTAAAAAAAGATGCCGCTAAAAGATAACTGGCCGAAAGCATGCTATTGATCCTCTTTTGTATCACGTAGGGTTACCATTAGCTTGGCATGCTCAGTGCTGCCACATTATGTGCCACACAGATGCTAAACGTTGCTAGCAACATTTTATAAATTGGTTCCAATAGCCTTTGAAAGATATTAAAAAATATTAATTTACCATTGTCTTAATTATTTCGTAAATTGACATGTATCGGCAAATTTTTTATTGAATAATTGCTAGCAATTATTGGGGTTGCCAGTCCAGTCCAATGGTCTGCCTACAAATAGCTCGTTATGTGTTGCCTGTATTAGCAAATATTTTATTTTTAATAATTCACTTAGAGCATAACATTTATTTTAGATTTGCTTATTATTTTTAAGCAGCACTTTTGATCTGTCGCTTGCTACATGTGAAATGACGAGTCGTTTTGTGAGCCAGCATTTACTGTGTAGTGAATAGACAGTATTATAATCATTATAACATTAAAGTTTTTTTTTTAGTTTCATACGCTCGTCGTATCACTGCCATTAGCGATCGTATTTGTACTCTGGGATTGCAACCCACAAAAACTGCAAACACATTAACTTACGTTTAAGAAAACGTGTAAAAATAATTAAAATAAAAATGTATATATTTAAAGGTGTTTGCAGATTCTCTGTGTGGCACATAAACATACAGATTTTAATGAATACAATAAATTTCCAGTATCGAGGACGAGTGGGTGCCGGAGAAGGAGGTGCGACGGGTGAAGCGCGTGGAGATCGCGACGCTGCCCGTGCACACCAAGGTGCTGCTCTACGACCAGTTCTGCAACTCCTACCGCAAGACTCCCTCCCCGCCCCCCGCACCACCCCCACCGCCAACGCCGCCCCCGCAGCGTCTGCTGCCCACTCGACACTGCACCTCCTCACGACTGCTCAACAACCTCCTTGCCAAGAAGAAGAAAGAAACACGAAACGAGTGCAGCGAGGCAAACATCCCCATGCTGTTCATCGAAGAAGAGAAGGAGAAGGTGGAAGTGAGCGGCGCCAAGAAGAGGAAGATGGGCAGGAGATACGGCGGGAACTCTTTCTGGCCCTGCGGACGATAAGTTAGCGATACTCTCCGCCCGCGCCCCTCGCCCCGCACCCCGCAACCTGCACCCCGCACCAGCCTGCGGATATATGTACAGATATATTGACAGAGGGTTAAAGTGAGACGAAGCAGGGCGTGGCTCGGGGCGGGTCGGAGCGGGGCGGGGGGCGGGGCGGGGCGGCGCTATCCGACCTTAGAATAATTCGCCAAAGATTCGCGGAGCGGGCGCGGTGCGGCGAGCACTTAGTTTGTCGATAGCAGAGTTAAATTACAAAGACTGATACTTTATACGAGACGAGGCCGCGCGCGAGTCGGAGCGTTGTCGCGTCGCATTCGTGTCGTATCGAACAAATGTTGTACATAGCTAGTGCGAAATGTAAAAAGAAGAGTTTAAGATAATCTAGTTTTCGATTCGGAAGTTAGTCTGAATAGGCGTAAGTTAGGTTAAGTCGTGTCGACCAGCGATAGGAATCACTGCCAATTTGTAATTTGTAAATAGTACATAAAGTTAGTCGGTTTTTAGTTTGTGCTCCGGGCCGTCGTCGTCGACGTTAGTCGGCGCGAGTCGGGCGCGAGTCGGTCGCGGGGTTTGGGTGTTGTTTAGTTAGGTTTTAGTGTGATCATACAAAGTACGTCGCGCCCACGTGATCACCAAGTGCCTGACACTCACGACTTAGTGTTCAATTTACATCGGATTTTCATTCGTATCGGAGGAAAATAGCTTTTAACTTAAGTCGTTTAGGGTCGACTTTAGGTCGCGAACGGCCACTGCCATGGGGAGTTGTGTCTAGCTGTAGTGTCGCGTTGGCGACTTTATCTTAGCAATAAATTGATTGTGATATAGGACGACTAGTATTCGTTGCCGCGCACAATTTTTGACCGGTTTACAGACATACATAGAGATATACAATAGATATATGTTCGTGCGAATGACTTCATTGGTAATGTTGAATTTTATAAGTATTTGCGTATGTTGTGACGTTTGTAGCTGATACCACCAGTTTGTACGGTTCTTAGATTCCTCGCTAGAGGGGACATTTATCAATTTGTACTTTTATATAAAACGTTAAGACAACTCCGTGAATATTTATCTTTAACGAGAAACAACGCGAGGTAAAGTACAAAATTTTATATCTGTGTATTTACGTGTACTGTCAAATTATATGTAATTTATTTTCAATTTTGTATCGCACTGAAGTACGGCAATGTGCTTACTAGTTCTTATGTCATTGTAATAAGGTTCAAAATATATGAAATTTTAAACATATTAATTGTCTGATGCCGCGTACTAGTTTGTTACAGTTTTGAAAATAAAGAGATATCAGTATTTGTCTATATCTTTGTGTGTAACAAAAAATTATTATTGAAATAATAAAAGATTTATTAATTGAAGTAGGTTTTATATGTTTTATTTTATATGAAACATTTTGTACAACTTTTAAAAGATGACTATTAAATAAATATTATTTGTTTGAAATGTGAAATGACAGTTTAAAGAATTGTAAATTGCAATAATTTTTGTACCGAGCTGTGAATCGTCACATTGTAAACTGTATTTGGTTATTAATGTCGTCCGAATGTCAATGAACACCAATATAAATGTCAATAATGTTGGCTGTTTGTCCATAACAGTATATTTAGAGTGTAGTTTTTAAAGAGTTTTTGGATGCCCTTATACAGACTTCGTTCATACCTTTATAAGGTGATGAATATAAGAATTGTGTTCTGTGCTCACACGATCTCGCTAGGATGTTTAGTTAGTGCCTCTAGGTTTAAGTTAGGATGAATTGCGCGCAAGGTGTCGACACACCGAAGCGATTGCTCGGACATTCGCTTTATTCGTACGATGCGAGTGTATCAGTTTGGTGTAGCGTGTTACGGCCCTTAGTTTTAATACGGAATTGTAAAGTTGAAGGTTGCGGAGGGGATAGGATTGGCTATGTAGGTAAATGTTGGTAAATGTCCGGCGCTCGCCGAACTTTTAGGATAAAAAAGGGAATCGCGTTGGGTAATGTTCGTGGCTTGCAAACGAGACTGGTCTCTAAAGCGAAAATTAAGCCGTTTTGCAATAACGAACCCTATCGACACTGTCACACGGTTGAAATTTGCATTAATATGCTATTTAATAAAAAAATTAAGATAAAATTTAAAATGAATGATAAAATTAGAAAATGTGCGGACAGTGTCGTAGGAATGCCCCCAAAGAAAGTGGATTAGGAAAAATTGTTTAGTAGTAAAGTTGGTGCCTGAACGTCGCTTGGGGAGGTAACACATCGTACACTAAAAATACGCACTTCGCTTGGAATATCTTCCAATGTACTGATTTTTTTTTTTATTAAATTTAAAATGTAGACTTATTCGCAGCACTGATTATAGTGCCATATAAATATTGGCTCAGTTTCCTTTTAAAACTAATTTTTTAGTCAAATTCGACACCAAAATTATAAAGACAAAAATTAGTCGTTTTGAAACCTTAACTCTATGATCTCAAATGTATTGGCGGGACGGAAACCTTACTGTGCCTGAGCTCGTCTCCAATGCTAACGGCAATAATTTTTCTTTTTTATATTAATTAAAGTAACGCTGTATTGATACTTGAATGTTATTCGCTCAATATCAAAGGAGTCATTTGATTATCGTTCACTAGGCGCAGGTGACAGACGTTTGGACCTAGATGCTTGAGTACAAATTAATCTTCTCTCTCGCTCGATCGCCGTACGTGCGAAAGAGGCCAACGTATCGAGACGACAGAAGAGTAATCTAGCTCCGATAAGTTAGTTTAAGCGGTTCGATTAGGTTATCCAGAGGAATATTTTGTGAAAAGCTAATCTAAACGTGCTTCTAAATTATATCTAAATGATACGTTAGTGTAAGTGACGAGAACGGGATATATTTTTATCACTGCCGCAGTTACGGTGGGCGTGGTTAGTGCGTGCGCGTGCGTTGTGGGCGTGCCCTTACGTTGACTTGCTCATAGATTTGTTTCCTTCCCTCCACCGGCTCATTCGCCCGAATGGCGACGTTTGTTTTTTTTTTCTTATAACTAATATGGATCGAGCATGGAAGCCGCGACATACGGTTGATTGTAAAGGCGTGAAACACATTACGACTGCGCGCGTTGTACAAAGCACGGGCTGACCGCGCACCGGGCGGCATTGAGATTGTAGTTAAATGGTAGCTTAATTTAGATACAGGATGATCGATATGCGTCGATGTTTTTATTACAAAAGTCTATTGCGTTATACATCGTTATATAAATATCCGACGCTTGTATGAACGTAAATAACATCGACGTTGGTCGATCTTGCTTATTTAGGTGTTGTATTGTGAGGTGAAGGTCAGCGCCGGGTGTAAATAGCTAAAGTATTTATTGATAAGTATTACAGTGGCTGTAATGTGTTTCGCGCCTGCTCCTGCGCCTGCGCAGCGAGCGGGAGGTCGTGGGAAGTCGCGGGTAGGCTAATGGTAGTGTACTCGAGATGTCTTTCAATATGTTTCCTATATAATGCGTTTATTATATGAATGTTCTCCTTTATTGTAAATGTTCAAGCATACATAGTGAGTGTTGTACCACGTGGTGTGCACTACTTATATTCAATTTGTAGATATTTTAATTATATTATAGTATAATGTTTTATGCGTTGTCTTATTTGCTTATATCCTCGATGGTGAAATCCGAAAATAATTATAATTTGACCCACGGAGCTCGGTGTCGGTTGGGAGATCTACCTCAATTAATTTATCACAACTTTGGGCATAATAATGATAGCGAATGTTATTTTATATATTGGACATTGGAATTTGTTCGACCAAATGGTTGTTTAGTTTTTTTTTTTAATAATTGGAATAATGAAATGGTTTGTCCACATGTCACAAGTATTGTATCTTATATTAAATACATATTGTATGATTGATTCTTGAGAGTTTTATTCGACTATATCAAAACCCCCAAATTAAATTGACTTCGATATACAAAACAGACAAAATTACTACGCATAAATAATATGTGTCCCAACGAATCTGAAAGTAGCAAATATCCAATAACCAAATAAATTGAAAATTTTTGTAAGATAAAAATTATATTTTTTGCTTTGTACTGAACCTGTTAGATGACAAAAAGTTTCTAGAATAAGCCTTGTATAAGAAGATGGACAATATGAAGTGAATTTATTTAAATCAAGGTAAGAAGGTAAATTAAAAATAAAAGTCTAGTTTACTTATAGGATATCCATAACAAAAAATGCTGCAAACGTCTTTTTGTCACTAGCGTGAGGGAATGGGGTTCCACGCATCTACTGTTATGTGATTGTTACTTATTAATATAACTAGTTTTAGGATTAAAACCCGACACTGTGCCGGTGTACTCGCACAGCACTAGCCTTATTAAATTGTCGACGTTTATATCCCCTTACTAATCATTCTTACACTTGACTTTGTAACGAAAGCACGTCATTCGCGCCAAAGGATTCTGATTAATAATGTTTAAAATTATTGTTTGTTTTACTCTTCATTTATAGTAAGTAGATTAAAATATGAGCAAAAATATCTATCGATATTATTTAATCACAAATACATAAAATATCTTATATATAAAATTCTCGTGTCACAATTTTCGTTTCAATACTCCTCCGAAACGGCTTGACCGATTCTCATGAAATTTTGTGAGCATATTCTGTATGTCTGAGAATCGGCTACTATTTATTTTATAATCCCGCGCGGACGAAGTCGCGGGCGACAGCTAGTGCAATATAAATAAATACATATAATACTCAAATACGGCGAAGTCAAAGTGACATGTTTATTATAAACTTTGTCCAAAGTAGCGCATCAATTTACTTATTCAAGGAACTGCACGACACAATCCTTATTGTTGAATGCCGCCCTACGACGTAACACGTGATGGTACATACTTTACACAAGGGAACGGCTACGATAGGAATGTTATATGAAGGATGCGACACAACGGCAGGAACGCAAATAATCGTGGATTTCTGAGACTAAAATCTTCGTTTATAACATATCGTTATCTCTGTTTTGTCAAAGATAATGACAAGGATGACGATACAGATGTTTTATACATGTCTCGGAAACCAAAGTAACGTAATACCTTACTTCATAGGATCCAAAGTAACGTGTTCCTGGTGGTTTAAGCACTTGATGACTCAAGCTAAGGAAGTCATGTCATAATTAACTGGATTTGACAAAAAGAATGATATTTACATTCTCTCTTCTTCTTTCAAGCTTTGTTACAAGGAGAGTGTATCTTTCAAAAGTAATATTTAAATAAGAAAATGGCTATTATGTTGTCCTTATAGTAACAACAACAAACCTACTAACAACAAATGATGTCGCAACAGCCAGGTAGAAATGATTTCATTACAGCTTACACGTGATAGGTATTCAATTTACACAAGGGAGCGCTGGCGATAAAGGTTTCTCATGAAGTATCGGACACCGCGGCAGGCGCGCACAACGTGGGCCTCCTGATGCAATCCTCTCTCTATAATAAAACTTATGGGTTTCATTTATACTCGTACAACGGTTACAGTAACTGCTAATAATGTTCATATCAGTAACCGCAGTATTTTATCATATGGTGCAGGGTAAATTATAAGAAAAGTTAAAAAAGTTAATGTAACTTTTAAACAAAAAGAGTTGGGTTTTTTTTAATATTTTCCCCATGTAGTTATCGACTTTTCTATACACCAGTATACGCTTGTTGAATTTTGGGACACGCTGTATAACACGTCATTTTTTTTAAAATCCTTTATAATTTGTCTAGGCAAACTACAAACAGGCAGCAGTAACCATTGAAAACACAATGGTATGTATATTTCATTGTCCGTCGTCAGAGCGACTTGGTCTTCTTGTAGCTTTGTTACTCGTAGTTAAGTAATACACCCTATGTGACTTTGTTTAATTACATACAATATAATGTATGTAATTAAGTCGATGAACTTAAAACTAAAGTATAAGATATTTTCATTTTACAAAAAGCTCACTTTATTATCATCTTGAAAATATTATCAGGGGAGCATAACCAAAGTCTTTTTAAGATACTTTTTACGTCAACAATTATTTGTATCCTGTATCCTATACTTGAGTCTGACTTTTTAACGAAGCCTTGAGAAATAAGTTACCTGAAACAATTAAAATGAGAACTCAAAAACAGAAGTTACACATGATTTAAATTATTACCTAATTAGCTAGATACTTAAAACATTAGGTACAATTTATGATATAAACAAATAAATAATATTTGTTAAGCCCTGACGAAAGCTGCAAGTTGCAATGTCAGCAGTTTAGGCAGTAATAAGCGAGCAGTTGTGTTCGCAGCGGTCACTCCTGCCGCAGACACCGCCCACCACTGCCCTCTGACGGTGGTCTGGTAAGTATACTACTTTTTCACTTATTTTATTTTTGTTTGAAATATTGATACTTTAGGATAAGGAGAGTCAAAAAGTGTCTTTAAATATATTCTACATCTTATCTCACAAGTTTGTTTTAATTTATTTTGAACTGAATATTTTTGTGACCTTAGAATCTCAAAAGATTCCATTTTGCTGTTCTTTAGACGCTTTAGGGAATTAGTCAACCAAGTTTACTGCATTTGGCAAGGCGAAAGTGACATTAATCGCTTTAAATTTTCATTTCCTGCTAGTAATTCAGGACAGAAAAGCTTTGAGACTCTATCAGCGATAATTATCGTAAAAAATGCTGCGCTTTTATTATATTTTCACAATTTGTATGCTAAACTAAATGCTAAGCTTTCGAACAAATAATAATTCAAGCTTTGCGTTCATATGTTTATTAGCTATCGCCCTTCACTGCATTGCGCGGAATTATTGAATAAAAATAATTAGTAGCTAATCTATTCTTACAGACTATGTTCTACATCTGTGCCAAATTTCATCGAGATCCATTAAGCCGTTATGGAGATACGTTCTAGCAATCAACCATCCAAACATTCATATTTATAATATTAGTAAGAACTATGACTTGTGTTTTCAGTGCATGAAGAGCAATTGATAATTGAAGTGACCATTACTTCACAGTCACGTCGTTTTATCGTGATGTGATGTGTAGTAAGGGACCTTTCGATCTTCAAATCAACAAGAAACTACGTAAAAATATAAATGTGATCTTCAATATGTATTCTTGCATCAAGATTAGTTACAGCTTGAGATGACTGTTACATCTCTATCACGTGATCTTCTTCCAACGTGTGATGAGGTGTGACGGTCGTTTCGAGTTGGATGATCCTCGAACAAAAGGCAAAAGAACTAGAAGTTTTTTTTTTTAATTCTGTACTGGAATATAGTAGTTTGGTATTGAAATGGCCTTTACCTCACAGTCACATCGTTTTCCTGAGCTACGTGTGATGTGAAGTAATTGCTTTTTCGATCTGAACGATTCACGGATGAGTTGTTCCCAAGAATATTTCACATGTTTTTTGTTTTTTATTTTGTTTCCACTTGTTGAGAGGATAATTTTTTTTTTTTTTGGAAATTGGAAATGTCTACTACCTCACAGTCACGTGTTTATATTGGCAAATACATGTGATGTGATGTAATTGTCATTTAGACCTCGTCTTGGCAAGACTGGGAAGATTTCTTTATGATATTTACTTGAAAAGTTTCTTTTTATTACCGAGAAGTAGTTCAGGATTGAAATGGCCTTTACCTCACAGTCACATCGTCGTGTTGAGTAACGTGTGATGTGACGTAATTGCCTTTTCGATTTGAACGATATCTGGACAGCCGCAAACGGATCGCCGATACGAAGATTTTTAATTGTTTTTTAATTTAATCGTCATATATTTTCGGCCTGTTTCAGATACATCTCCTCTACGACCAAGTCCACTTTAAACACGATCCGTACGACGCTCTACGATTGCTTAAATTTTAGCTTTCATAATATTTCTTTTGTGTTAACAGTTCAGCCAGTACGATAAGTTCTGGGTTGAAATAGCTATTACTTCGCGTTCACAACGTCTTTATAGTAGAACGTGTGATGTGATGTTGATAGCTTTTTCGGCTTGGATAGTCAACGGACGGTAATAATGAAAGAGGAAAAAATAATCTATTTGGTGTTAAAGAGAGCAACAATATCAAACAAAGAAAACAAGACTGCCAAATAACATTTAATTTTTTTTTTAAGTTGTCTGTGCTTATGTTTTTTATTTACTCTATATTAAAATAATCTGTATATTTTTGTGGACTTATCCAGTTTCGAAGACGTTTTCATATTTTTATTATAATATGATTTATTTCCAGTATTCAAGCCAACCAAGTCGCACTGGGCCGACGTGGTTGACTAAGGCCTAGTCACACCTGACTTAGGGTTGCCTCCTAGCTCCTCAGTGGGGACGTACAGTGAGCTGATAATGATGAGTAATGTTTAGTGTTGAATCGCCTATTACATCGCGATCACATGATATTTGTATTCATGTGATGTGTTGTGATGGTGGCTTCGACCTGGACAATCGACGGACAATAAATCTGCTACCGCTTGCTTCAGATTCCAACTACAAGTTCTCAAAGGCTTTACACTTATAGAGACATATTACGTATAGAGACATATCTCCCTCACTCTTCTTAGAAAAAATGAGATAGCAATGTGTAATTGTGCTTCAGCGGTGAAGCCTAACTGCTTCTATATGTTTGATTTTGTTTTGTTTAATTTGTGTGTGTATCCCATTAGACAAAGTTTAGTTTTGAAATAAGATTCACCTCACAAATTTCAGATCATGTGGGGTGATTGTTGTTTCCAATCTAGACTATGCAGGCATCAGAAACGACGGACGAAGTACTAGTTATCATCATATTAATAATATTCTTCTTAGCTTTGTGTAACCCGGGTGACAGGCAATATTTATAAATAGATTTTTTTAATTCCGCGCGGACGTAGTCGC